GTTTTGGTCAACATGGCCGGCCCTAGCCCCATCTCTAAAGACTTGGGGGAGGTGGATGTGGCCAAGGCGAAGGTGGTTCTTTTCGTCAGGGGCGGGGAGGGGAAGGGGTTGGAGGGGGAGGGGTGGAGGGTTAATTTTTTGAGTTTGGAGGGGGGAGGAGAGAATGGGGAGGGGGCGATTTTGGCGCAGTCGGGGGTTTTTGGGTTCAAGGTGGTTAAGGTAGAGGTGACGGCGACGGGGAGCAGCACGGGGAGTGCGACGGGCACGGCGGCGGCGTCAAAGACGAGTAGTGCTGCGGCGGGGGCGGTGACGACGGGGATGAGGGGAAGGGAGGTGATGGTGTTGCTGGGGGGGGTTGCTGCGGCTGTTTTGGTTTAGGGGAGGAAGGGGAGGGTTGTGGATAGGTAGAGGAACGGCATAAGGGGGAGTGTGGATGGCCACGGGGAGGGCGGGCTAGATGTTGGAGTTTAGGTCGAGGACAGAGGTGAAGGTTGGGTGGTATTCTCTTGTACGAGCGTGGTAGATGGAGGGGATGAAATAGAATAAAGGTCATGGGGGTCACGTTGAAATGATCAGTCAGACGGTTTCAAGGCATTCATGTGGTTGACAGCAAGGTTGGTATAACTTGTTGAATTTGGGGAGATATCGATGCTCCTGAAAGCTGCTCCAAGACAATTACCTTGGATCAAGACATCTTGGCCAGTTCCAAAGAAGTTTCAACCAGATTGGCCGTGCAGAGCACCTCATGCTTGACGTGAACAAAGCTTTGTACTCGAGCTACAATAACACCGCCCATTGAGTTGCCAACGCCGTGGTTTACCAAGAGATACATCGCAACACTCGTTGAGAGCGAGGCTGTACCAAGTCAACCAACTCTACTGCTTGATACCTACCTGCCATACAGCTTAAACCATACAATATGGCCTCCGACTCTCTACCCATCCATCCAGCGTCGCCAGCTCAATGCCGGCCTGGGCATTGCCCACCCCCATCCCATTGGCCGTCCCCCGCAGTCGGACCACAATACTGGTGCCGGAATATAGCGCCCTCGGATCGACCCGCCGAGCCGTGTTGCCCCATTCGGCCGCCGACGAGGGCATTCCAGAATTAGCCAGATTGCTGCCCCTGGCGACGCGTCCAAGCCGGCCCTCTCCACCATCGCCGCGAGCATTTAGGCGGCCGCGGCCAATCTGACACTGCCGCGCCAAGCACTATTTATATTCCGCCGTCGTCTGGCCTCGCGGCGGCGGAATGTGTGCTGGTGGTGGGAGTGTTCTAGTACTTCTTCTTCGGCGGGCCCTGTGTTGGACTAAGTTTATATCATCACCCGTGTCTCCTCATTACCAACCTCACCAACATCAGCCATGCTCGCCCTCCTCCCGCTCCTGGCCGCCCTGGCCCACGGCGCCGTCATCGCGCCCCGGCAGACCGCCGCGCAGGTCGTGCGGCTCAGCTCAGTCGAGAATGTAGCCGTCCGCTCCAACGGCCAGATCCTCGCCACCAACATGAACGCGGCGACCCTCTACGCCGTCGACCCCGTCGCCAAGACCTCCAGCACGGCCCTCACCGTCACCGGCGCGACCGGCCTGTCCGGCATCGGCGAGTACGCCCCGGACGTCTTCGCCGTCATCGGCGGCAAGGGCATCTACAAGGTCGACTTCACGGCCTCCCCGCCCAAGTCGTCCCTCATCCGCACCATCACCGAGGCCAACAACCTCAACGGCCTGGCCGTGTTCGACAACTCGTCGGTGCTCGTCGCCGACGCCGGCAAGGGCGTCGTGTACAAGTTTGACGTCAACACGGGCAACTACGCCGTCGTCCTGCAAGACGCGACCATGGCGCCCTCGGGCGGCATCCCGTTTGGCATCGACGGCATCAAGTACCGCGACGGCGTGGTCTGGTACACCAACATCTTCAAGAATAGCTTCCACAAGGTGGCCGTGGACCCGGCGACGGCCAAGCCGACGGGCGCGTACACCACGCTGTGGACGAACCTGATGGGGGATGACCTGTGCTTTGGCCCGAACGGCAAGATTTACGTGGCTACCAACAGCAAGAACTCGCTGGTCGAGGTCGACCCGGCTGTGGGCAAGCCGACGAGCGTGGGGAGCGTGACGGGGTCGACCTCATGCGCGTTTGGGCGGACGGATAAGGATGCCAACGTGGCGTACGTCGGGGCCGGGCAGGGTGTGTTTGCTGTGACTGTCAAGGTGTAGGGAAAGGGTTGGTGTTGTACATACCTACAAGTGAATATTGGACAGACAAAGAGACAGACAGTGATACAGGGTTGTTTGATGTGGTGCTCGTGACAGCTGACTGAGCTGGGTGAATTTGAGGTGAAACTGGGTACCTGTCCACGCCTTTTCGATGGAGGCAGGAGTGGCAAGAATCAAAATCCGAAGACGCACATAAAAGGAAAACCGTGCCGCAGAGGGAAAGGGGAAAACCAAAACGAAAAAGAAAAAGACATAACGAGAAAGACGGAGAAAGCAAGAAGAAAAGAGAGGCAATAGGGAAAGGAAGAAAGCAACACGAGAAGGAGAAAAACCAGAAGAAGAGGGGACGACGAAGTAGGAAACGAGAAGAACAACAGGAAAGGGGAAAGAAAGGACAAGAAAAGAGACAAACAACCCAAAAGTAACAAGCAGACGGCAGCAAAAGGCTAGGCCTGCCAGGAGAAGCAGTTTCTTGGACGGGCTGGGAATCGAACCCAGGACCTTTCGCAGTAGAGATGCTAAGCGAACGCTCTACCAACTGAGCCACACGCCCATGGAATTGATGGATTCCCGGTTGCGGATCTGTGACATTTGTCGCGTGTGGATGTGGGTTGGTGGGATGTGTGGTGGAGTTGTCCAAAGGTTAGGGCTTGTGGTGGAGACAAATCTGAGCAGCCCATGGCAGGTGCCATGGCACCTGCCATGGTTGGCGGCTCTCTCACAACTCACTCTCAGACACACCTCGGGGCAAGATCTCACCCTGCAGACGCTCACAGCCTCGTGCCCACCAGCGGAATGGAAGCGACTCGGGGCAGGCAGTCAGGGGTAGGATAGGCGGGGCAGCAGTCGGTCCCCGGACCGCGCCAGACCGACCGCATCTCCGGCTTGTCTGCCCCGATGGAGGGGGAGGTGGAAGGGGAGTGTTGGAACAGCGTTTTCGGACCACTGCAGCTGGTTGTATGGGGGCACTGTGAAATGGGTACAAAACGATGTGTGTGAGGAGTTGGGAATTGGTTCAATTCTGGATGCTTGTGTTCTCCTCTGTCTCTCCTTGTGCCGCCCTGGCTCCTTTTAACTGCCTGGCTCCTTCGCCCCTTCGCCGCTGGCCTCCCATGATGGCCACATGGCCACCTGATGCCATCCCCACAGCGCTGGTCCTTAAAGACGGCCGTTTGCTGATACCATCGCCACTATGGCGAGTAGCTGGGCCAATGGACGACCAAGGTGCTGACGTTTGCCTGTAGTTTGCATAAAGCTGAGGTTGGCGATGCCCTCTTGGGCTGATGGTCCAGGACAATCGCCTGCGGTCAGAACCAGGGTGGTGCCTTGGTTCTAACAGGGAGCGGCGTCGTGGGGTAATGCTGCCAGCTCGTGGGGAACTTTGGAACCTGGGTTCAAGACAAGGGGTTGTTCGTTGGCGCTCGTGGTCGTCAGGTGTGATCTGGCAACTGTTCAGGTCGAAGTACCTGGGACACAGCCAACGTCCAGGCTGGTGGCTCAGGTTGCGTGGGGTTTTTTTGGTGTTCATGAACAGCGCCAGCCACAGCAGGACAGGGCAGTTTAGCCTCTCTGCCTACGGTGGCATCTGGGAGGCGGCAGGCAAGGTGGAACGGTTAATCGCCGCTGCTTGGGCTCTAAAAGCGGCTGCCGGGCATGGCGTTTTCCTCCAGGAGCCGAGTGGCATGCTCATCACTTGATCATGCTCCGACAAGGAGAGGGTCAAATTCATGATGCAGTCCCGCCTCACGAGGAGCAAAGGGTGTTTCAGACCCACAGATGGAAGGTGTGCGCTCCCCAAGGGCGAAGATGGCAGACCCGGAGGCAGGAGGGCAACACAGCAATATCCTATCCTATGGGCAGTCCATTAGCAGGCCTGCTGTTCTGCAGCTCACTGGCCCCCCCAGCCAAGCCATGGTATGGACATGGACATGGGCAATGCCCGGGGGCTAAACCGGAGATGCGGTCGGTCTGGCGCGGTCCGGGGACCGACTGCTGCCCCGAGTCGCTTCCATTCCGCTGGTGGGCACCAGGCTGTTCCAGAATAATGAGGGCGAAAAAGGGGGTCATTTTCATTGCCGCGATTTGATGCTGAAGATGGTCGATGATTGCTGCCCGCAGAAAAGAAGGCGGAGTTGCAGGTGGTGTTGCTACTCAGCAGCAAGAAACATGGTGGTCAAGGACAGGCCACATGAGGACCGACTGGAAAACCCCAACCCTGAGGGAGAGGGGCATGTGCATGCAATAAATTCCAATCGACACCACGAGGATTGCCTTGAGAAAATAGGTAAATAAAGGTGTGAACGATGGGCAACCACCCATGCCTTGCCAGTCTAAGCTTGCTGGGTGGAGTATGGATGGATGGATTTTATTCCGCCCGGAGGCACTGAGCCTAAAGGGTCTTGGCACGCTAGCTACATTCGGATCCATCGTTTGCCCTGACCTCGTCCAAGCCCATCCAGCTGGGTGGAGTGCTCGTGACGTGGCGCTACATATTGATGGCGTATCACGTGATAAAAATGACTGGTCCGTGCTGCAGGAAAAAGTGGGTTCTGCCTTGAACTGGGTTGACGACAAGCGAACCACAACTCAAATCAAAACAAAAAAATTAGAGCCGATCCCAACCCGATTTGAACGGATAACCTTTCATGGAGTCGATAACTTCAGGCAGCAACATATCACGTGACACGAATGCATGGCTGGAGCTGCAAGACGAAGTGGGTGCTCTCAATGAGCTGAGGGCAGAAAAACGACTGTAAAGTCAAAGAAAAAAATTGTTTTGAAAGCTGACCCCCACCCGATTTGAACGGATAACCTTTCGATCTGGAGTCGAACGCGCTACCGTTGCGCCAGGGAGCCCCACTTCTATTGTTGATTAGGAAACCGCTAACCCTCCACTTGTATCCATGTTGCTCTTGGTCCCACATCAATGGGCAGACCCACCATGTTTCCTGACCCACACTTCCGTGCCCTTTTACGGAGTATTCCCTGCACACACCTTCGTCGCACAGCGTCTCGTGTGTGCTCCTCAGCGACCACATCAGGCCAAGTCTCAACACGCATGTGAGATCAAGGAGGGATGCAAGGCTTGCGGAAGCACTGTTCTGCACCGCACCTTGTGGGATTGACTCGCAGCCTCCCTGTGGCGGACTGGAGAATTCAGGGCTGGGCACAAAGCAGAGCAAAGCAAACCTGTCACCGGCCACACTGAGAATCAGGGTCATCAAGGAAGATGGAACGCGCTGCAATGGATTCGCTGGCGAAACGTGCGGGAACCGCGTGCAACAGTATGGTCAGTCTTGACAGAGAACAGATCATTGGGGATCTGTGGTCCGAAACAGGAGCGGACTCTCCAGCTAAATACACACGAGTGGCGGGCGACCCGGCAATGAGATCATTTATCTCGATCCATCCCATCTGGTTCCTGTGCCTGCATGGCCGTTGCGGTGGCGTGGCTGATGCTGCGGTGGTATGGCTGACATCCGGGCAGTTTGCGGGCGGACCGGGGTCAGCACTAACAATCAGTTAGTGCTCTGTATAGCAGTAGCTGCTAAGCACTAACAGATAACTGGGATTAAATTGTTACTGAGTTTTGATTGGTGTAAATCTCTCTTGGCGTGCGCTGCGGCCCGAAGCTTTACCGACCAGCAATTGCGGGCCGCATCAGCAGTACGGACGTCCACGTCAAAAGTGTTGTCCAATTCATTTAAGGGCTAACCCTAATTGGGCAATATCATTAATAGAGTATATTACCTAATTAGGATTAGCCTTCAAATGAATTGGACACAACTTTTGAAGTGGACCTCCGTATTCTGTAATACCGCATAATCTCGAGAAACTGGAAAACCACTTTCCCTATTCGGGAACTAGTGCCAGCCAGCCGCCCACCAATTGAAGCCCACGGCAGGTGGATCCCAGCCACACCTTTACCCCTCCATCCTGCCCCTCATCCTGCCCCTGATCCTTCATCCTGAGCCCTCAACCGCTCGATCAAATTCGCCTTGTTCCCAGATACTTTGAGGCCATGGTGCCTGCACAACCTGACAAGCTCTTCCTTTGGCATCAGGCCGTACCGGCCAGGTCCTACCATATCCTCAGTAGCTGTTTGGAAGGCAACCAAGTCGTCAAGCACTATAGGGAGCTCTTCGTGTTCTTCCATCTTGATGGTGATATCCACTGCCTCCTCCCAACCATCCCAAACCAGGGAAGTATTTGGTATGCCCTTGATATTGACAAGATCGTTTTGCGATCCATCTGGCCGAATAGCAATCCCAGTGTCGATAAAGGACTTGATAATAAGGTCCTGTTTCTGTGTACAAACTGATTGCCAGACCTCTGCAACAGCCTTCGTCATCATGACACGCTTGTTTTTGACTGCCCAGGCCTGCCCTGGGTGCTCTCTTTCCCAAGTAGCAACGTACTGGTCGACTGTATCTTGCAGGAGCTTCTTGAACATGCTGTTCACGGCAGTGTCCAGAGGCTGGATAAGACAGGTAAGGCCACCTAGTATCATCGCTGGTAAAACATAAGCTGGAAGCTCCTTTTGTAAGCGTGATGTTACTGTATCAGTCTTGTGGAATGATGCTACATCCATGACCAGCATCGTATCACCTTCCAAGATTGGCTGCAGCTGTGTCAGAGCACACACTCTGGGAGTCTCTTCAATCAAGATAAGTGCCACAAAGAACGGTTCAGTGGAGGGAAATCGTGGAGTTGCCTCTGTTCATACAACGGAACTGAACCTTGCCCTCTAATCCGTT